CTGCTCAGTAAGCAAAAACGATCCCTCCAGGGTCATCGAGCATCTCAGAACCATAATTCTTCGCGACAATACAGAACTACGTTTTCACTTGATATGCAAATAGTTTCCAAGGTTAATTTCAATATCAAATATACAAATGATGGTGACGATTTATTGTGCTGTGGAAGCGCTTGGGGTTAAATCCATGATTTTCTGCTCAGTAAGCAAAATCGATCCCTCCAGGGTCATCGAGCATCTCATAATCCACAGCGCTTCGCGTCAAAGTACGAATATATGGATGAACTATCTATTATTGAATAACTATTATTTACGATGATTACATGAAAGAAATAAAATATAAACTACAAACAAAACGTGACTACTGAAATCTCAAAAAGATATTCTCACAAATATATTTCACGCAACCAGGAATCTCAAAACCATTAGACGCTATAATGATACTCTGCACATGTTAGACAGTGCAGTTAGTTTTTGGCTCCTTAAAAAGCAAGCGTCCGACACAGAAAACCCGCCAAATCCACTTGCAGTCACAATCAACGATTCTGCGAATCGCGAGAGCTGACGAATCATAAAACCGCTGACTGCAACATTCTGAAAGCGAAATTGACAGGCTCTATACATCAAACACCCGCCCTTCAATCTCCTCCCGCATCCAACAACACAAATCTCTATTACAACATCTAACGAATTAAAAACTCTGAAAATCACTCATCTATAGCAAGTGAGTGGAAGCAACCCTGCATGCAACCATTCTTCATGATACATTTTTCTGCCTATCTTTCTATTGGGCCTGTGGACATGCGTTAGCTTCGAAACTTCTAACCAAACTGGGAAAATTTTCAGATCACAAAAAAAAACTTGAAGAAAACTTTCAAAGGTAATTACAAGTAAAATAAATATTGATTATTTTACGCAAAAACGAGCATGTAATATTAAATCTCTTGTATCGTATGCTAATGCTTATTGACTGTAACAAAAATAATATGCTTAAATAAAATAAAATATTAATGAAATTACATATATGCAAAAATTACTAGAATTTCATTACTTAATTGGTGAGAAGTTTCTAATAAGCCCTCCCTGTTCCTCTGTATACCGAACAAATCTGATACTATAATCAGAATTGCTCAGTCTGCATGAAGCAGCCGATTTCACCAAGGAAGTTCTATTAACAACCAAGAATTAATCGTTTGAGGCATACTGAAGCATTAAGAAGGTGATATGTGTCAATGTGTCACTATAGGAAACCATCATCGTTGCAAATATAAAGAAATTAAACATAACCCTTTGCTTCAGTACCGTCAACCTCCATGTCCATGTGGAGGGAGAGTCGTGGTGAAGGGTTGCTCGCAGAAACCAGGAGTCGACTATGAGGATGTATATTCTCCGGTAGTACGTTATTCAACAATTCGCTACCTCATGGCACTGGCAGTGATGTTCGATTTCGATGTGGATCAGATGGATGTGGTTACTGCGTTCCTGCAGGGTGAGGAAGGCGATGAAGAATTGTACATAATGCAGCAGGAAGGATCCGATAAGGTCATCTCAAGCCGTATTGCGAGAATTCGGACTGCAACGATCAGATCACAAGTAGATATGCACCTACACTGGATCCTAGATGGTGACATTATGCTATTTGTCACGATATACGTAGATGACCTGCTGATATTTACAAACAACCGGGCGTTGAAGAAGCTGAAGAAATTTTTGAAGAAGAAATTCCAAATGAAAGAATTGGGTGAAGCTTCACACTGCCTGGGAATTCGAATTGTCATAGATCGAGTGTAAGGGCGTCTTTCGTTGGACCAAAAATCTTTGAAGAGATAATCCAGCGCTACTCCCGTCGCAACGCCAGCAGATCCAAGTCTAAGACAAGGCAAATCGATGTCTCCCAAAACGGCTGAGGAGGTAGCACAGATGTCAAGAGTACCCTTCAAGGAAGCTGTTGGCTGTTTGTCATATGTTGCGCAAGCTAGTCGACCAGATATTGGGCCTTATAACGGGTATCACTACACGGTGATAAGGAAGTGATACTCAAAATAAGAGCCGTGATTGTCGTACAAATCAAATGGGAATCACTTCACCGTGACGACAAGTGACAAGTTTTCACCGTGAAGTGGCATCCGTAATAAGCCCCATTACGTAGGCTGTAAATGCTGTGGGCCAATTCTTTGCCAACTCTGCTAGACAACATTGGAAAGCAACCAAGCGTATCATCCGATACCTGAAGTGAACAGCGCAGAAAAGGACAAAATTGGAAGACTTCAAGGGTATAGCGATGCCGATTGGGGAGGACTTCCTAATGACAGAAGATCGACAACAGGTTATCTCTGTTCACCATGCAAGAGGCTGCCATATCCTGGAATGTGAAGAAGGAACCAACCGTAGCCCTTTCATCATGCGAGGCGGAATTCATTAGATTGGAGGCGCCTGGAGCGAAATTGTCATTGGATTCGATCAAAGCCAAGATTTTACAAGACGTCAAGCTCAAGGGTCCCGTTACATGCAAGAGGTTCTGGGCCCATAACCTCTTGCAGAGTTACAAGGAAATTACGGTGTTTAAGGTTTGAAGGAACAAAGTGGAATGAACGTTTATTTTCTAAATACTTGTTAACGTAAAAAAAAGCGGGTTGCATAGTTTTCAAAATATTGACGACGAACATATTAGTGAACTCTACACCACAGAAGTTTCGTCAATATTTCCATCAATATTTTTATGTCGGGGGGTTATCAATTGTTGTATCCGATGGAATATTCCGAGCCAAATCACAACCACCTTGACAAAAGCTGGCGAGGAACAGGCCGCATATGCTGCTGTAGTCAAACAAAAGAGGAAAATTAGAGGAAATATTGAAACATGAAAGTAACCTTTTTTTGATTTTGCGTCAATCTGTTTATCAATATTTTCATCAATATGGTTGTCAATACTTTTGAGTATTGACATTTTTGCCCGTGTGGTGATTGTTATTGATGATAAAGCAAAATCAAAAAGTGGATTCTACACGATTGCTTTTATTGACAATATGTAAGAGATGAACTAGCCTATGGCTAAAAATCTCTATAATAAAGAAAAAAAAATATTGATAATAATTGTATTGTCAATACATTCTATATTGACGTCAATACATTGAGATTGACAATATTTCTGAATTCACATCATCAATATTATTGTCAATAATTCCCCTTCGCGTCAATATATTGATGCGTGTGAGGTTTACTTAACATTGAAAATAATCGTATTGTCAATATATTCTGTATTGATGTCAAGATTGACGTCAATACATCGATATTGACAATATTTATAGATCTTTTAATTTCGTCGAACCTCTTGACGGAATCCCTTTATGAAGAGCGTTTTGAGTTTGTTGATTTATTTCCTTTTAATTCCGTTATAATTGCTTATCTTTTGACAGGTACGCGTATTTCGTACACAAAAACTACACAATGGTGACGTAGGACTACGTCGTCTTATATAATAAATGTTATTTGTTAACTGCAGCAGGAGCTTGTATTTTGTGCCTTGAATAAAACCTTTTGATATGAATTTTAGTTGGGACATGTTCAGATATTTAACTCTTTTGGAAAAACTTATTGGCCCTGAAAAGTGCCGATGGTAGTACAGGTTTAAAGCCTTTGGAAAATGATGATGACGTGTAGGCAGCTGGATCAGCAAATCGGACCGGACAATCCCATATTCGTCGGTGCAATGATTGGGCACTCCCAAGAGTGTCGGCCCGTCTGCTGCTGGACAGGGGTTGAACTGGTGTCTGCGACAGGTTGGAAGGCCGCAGAATATCGGTGTCCACTCAGCTAAAGCGTTAAACTCCTTCTCTCAACAAGTTGTTAAATCTTAGCTTTTACCAGAAAGACGCTTAACACTTTTTTCGGTGAATTTATGATCCTGTTTCACGTCATGGTTCTTCTCTATGCCTGTTCAGATACATAGTACTTTTATTTATTTTCTATACTGCGCTAAATTAAACGAGTAGAAATAAGAAGGGATGTCGATTGCGCGATCGAATAACTGAATAGATGGAAAAAATCTTTACGATTAATCGTTAACCGAATAAATGGACATCCATAAAAAATAGTGTAATTTAATGTGAATCAAAGGTGAAAGTCAATTCTCTTCATCGATTTCCTCTTTTGATGACCATGACCCTTATTACCGATGTCACTTCTCGGTGAAGTGATTCCCATTTGATTTACACGGCAATCACTTCACCGTGAAGTGACACCTTGAATAAGGTTCCATGGCTTCACCTATTTTGCATTATTTCTGCTATGCTCTTCTATCATCCAGAACAACAAACGTATCAATGAATGTGTTTTCCGTCGAGTTATTAACAAAACAGAAAGTCGATGAAGAGAATCGATCAAAATCACTTGCACCCCTGCTTCCAAGTTTAATTACAAGATTACAATTCTGGAGAGCATTTTGTGTGGTCGTTGGGGGCGTATGGTTCTGAATATGGCGATGAGTGTGAAAAATGTTACGCAATTGCATCCTCCCTATTCGCACACGCCCGAAGATCGAAGGCGAATGCCACTTCGACTTTTTTCGTTTACTAACGACTCTCTCATGACAGTGTTGGGGAAGCAGAATTGATACATCGACATGTTTCGTCTAGAAACGATTCCTTATTGACTGTGTTGGGGAAACAGCATATGCATGTACGTAATTAGTGGATTTGTTAGTTATTTCGACACTTTAGGATACTGCTTGACATTTACAACTTTTTCAATAGTTTCTTGTTGAAAATCTTTTTAATTTTTTACTGTAGAAATATTTCTGATCGATTTGTGATAAAATTATTGAAATTGGTTCAGGAGCAGCTGAGTTATTAACGTTTAAAATCTTTCATAATTTCGTTACATGTTCCATTTTCGGTTTTCACAAAGTCACAAACGTAGTCCTACGTAAAAAAAAGTTGGGTTTTCGGAACACGGAATCCTACAAAATTACTCGTGGACAACGGTTAAATACCTTTTATTTAATTTCTCCGGTACACTGTTGGATGAGGCGCTAGGTGGCGGTGACGAAACAGCCGAGACAAGCGATGAGCTAGATAATGCCAATGGTGGTGGCATCGGAAGTAGCCGTGCACATGGTGCTGATGGTGATACGGGGGTCCGATAGCGGTGGCTAGATGATTGTGGTCAGACAGTGGCGGCGGCCGAATGGTGGCGGCCGGATGGCAGTGGATGGATGGCCGGATGCAAGTCGCCGGTTAGAATCGCTGAAGGCCCCACCATCGTGATGGTGGCCGGTGTTGCTGACGGCACACGCGGGATCGTGGCAGGTACAAACGATCGAGAAGGTGGCGGCCGGATGGCAGCGGCCAATTAGCATTGCTTGAGGCCCAGCGATCGATTATCTTCTTCGGAGGCTAAATCCCGACTCCCGATCCTTCGTCATCGTCACGCTACTCGCTCTTCGTTGGCTGTATCACTCTTCACTTTCTCATACTTCCGCTCTCACTCCGTCCAGGTACAGTGGATATCGACACCCACCACTGGTTTAGCATACACCATCAGTTTAGCTGTTCGTTTGCTCAGCCTATCGTCTATATCGCCAGCCAGCGCATTAAAAATAACCGTTTCAACCTGACTGATTCACTAATACAAATAATCTGTTTCCCGTGTTCATTGGTTCCTTATAAAAACAATGTTACCCGCCGGTAACAATATGTATAGGTTTCAATATTTCCCCTTTCTGTTTGACTACAGCAGCAGGCTTCATAGGTAACTTTTGTCAGAAAAGTTGTGATTTGACTCGGAATATTCCATCTGATACAACAATTTTAGTGAGGAGCGACCCTGTATTGATGACCCTACGAAAATATTGATGAAACTTGTCGTGTGGGGTGCACTAATAATAACCGCCGTGTTTATAACCGCCATGAATTTTGCTTAATTTTATTTGAGAAACATAATATAATTTGATAAGTAACCGAGTGTCTTTCAATCCGAGCTGCACGAAAAGTTACAAAAAGTTGATATTTTCTTATAATTAATGTACCTTAAGGTGTAACTTTACATGATCCTATATTCCTATTTATGAAATTCAAAATAATGAGATTGTTGTGAATGCACGTAGCTGTAACTATAAACGATTGTTAACAGCGTTGGAACTTACAATTTTTACAGATCTTTTCACCGCATGAATGTTAACATGCATGCTCTCAAAATGACAAGGATATTTGAAAATTTTGTGTAGTGCGCTGCGATGCCACTTTGCCAGATTTCTGTACACAAAGAAAGCTGGTTGGGATCCCCTATACCGTAGAACCACCGACAAACCGACATGAATGATCATACAAATTACAAAGTAATTTCTGATCAAAGCACAAAACTGACATCCACAAAGGAAGTGACAGACGGCTCGAAAACTTTGGTGACTAACCTGCTATTGCAATTTTTCAGTGTACCACATGGCGACACCACTACTACTGGATTGTACTACATGGCAACACTACTACTGGATTGAACTAGCATTTTCACCAAATGTACTAGAATGTTTTGGTTCTATCTCTTTCACTCTACTCAAAACTGAAATGCATAAAAAAATGACAAAATGATACACTCTTTGCACACTGTCAAAGAATCATTGTACACAAAATCAACTTTGTGCAAAACTAAAACAAAAATACTATCCCATCTGGTGGATGATGGCACAAGCTTCTAAGAAAATTCTATTACAGCGAACCACATTATTTTAATTGATTTCTTCGTCAGCTAGTCGTCTGTCACTTCGTTTGTGCTGACATCTGTTCGCGGAAAATATTTATCCTAGCCACGAACACGCGTACAAAATTTATGAGTTGCTCCGTGTCTAATCTATTTCGATCAAATTATTTTTAGCTAGATAAAACATTTCTATGGATTTGACAGATGGGATCGCTGCACATTTTAATCGGCCGTTATGGATTCTCGATCATGTTTAAGTTTCATGTCGGTTTGTCGGTGGTAGCACCCCGTTAGTTTAAATAGCTTAAATGACAATTGCATCGATTTATAATTTGTTTATCTGGTACAGTGTTGGCAAAATCATCAATCAAATTATATTTTTCCGCTCTCAATATCACGCGTGATATCGGAACAAAATATCATGCTTGATATTGATTTTACAAGCTCCTTTGATATTGCAAGACTATTCACAACGTGCAAAAATCAAGCGGATAGTTGACTAGACACAACAATCATTCTGTTGCACATCGTTTTCTTAGAAAGAGAAAGTATAGTTTTCTATCTCTTTTTAATCTTCACCGATGGCAGACACGAAGTGGCTGCTGCCAGCCGTTAGTTTGTATGGAAGTTTCGGTTGCGTTCGGGTTTAAAGCAAAAATCATTAAACTCAATCTCACCACAGTTTGTTGAGATTTGCAGCTGATGAGTTTAATTTGCTTGATATTCCGAGCTGCGATATCACAGCTTGCAAAATCAACCGCAACTGTATGCTTGTTGATTTTTGTCTACGAAAATCAAGCGTGATCCTGGGCATTGGTGAGATTTGAATTTGTTGATATTTTCCCAACACTGATCTGGTACCCCTACACAGGTCATTGGGCACCAGTGTAGGGTTACCAGTTAAACTAATTCTAAATGAGCGTCGTTTAGTTGCTATTTTAGCTATTCAAACTAACGGGGTTCTACGGTATTTTGATATCGAAAGCTGTACTACTGTACTTATCTCAAAAACTAGTTCCAAAACTTAAGTAATTTTTGAGCTACCAGGTACGGTATCAACATAAACAAGAGGGCCCCAATTTTTATTGTGTATAAACATGTTCTTATGGCGGTATAAGCTCCAACCAACTCTGATTAACTTTTAATACCGTTCCTGTTTGTATGATCTGCAAAATATTTTCTTATAGTCGCGTTGAATAACTCTAATGTCGACATCAAAGCAGCCGAACATTCTTGATCGGGATTTAATCCGAGGATAATACCAGTTGGAGCTTACCATGATTAGTGATTTAAATATGATGTCTGATTATCCTCTACTCAATTGGACGTGGAATTTTCATTTGATTCTCCATTGCCTGACGGTCTAACATGCCCTTGGTGCGTTCTTGATACGCCGGAGTCAGGCGACATGTATGATGACGATGAGTTACGCCTAGTTGTCCTCTGACAAGAACTGGCCGATGGGGCTGCAGGATGCTCGTTCAGGATTTCACCCCCCATTCGAAGTATTCCGATTTTATACTTCCTTTTCTGATAGTCATTCATGCGTTTCAAATCTGGCAGCAGACTCATCAGAAACAACACATCACTATCGCTGTAATCTATCGTGTTCTGTGTTTGATGTGATCTTTTTACTTCACAAGGAAAATCTCCGCTGCCATCTAATCGCCTATACTTTTCGTGCATTAGGTGCGAATCGGAGTGTACAGGTGCATCACGTTTATTTGAACTTCCTGAGCCATGGTCAAATCTTTCGCTTTTATCTGTTTCGCTGGGTTCTCTGAACTGATACTTGAATTCGATTTCTTCATTTGGCTCAAGCTCCTCACCCTCTATGATCTGATCGGAAATGGATGAATCTATTTCCAGGAACCGAGATATGCTGTCCTCAAGGTAGGGAGCGTCGTTCTCCGCCTGCGATTTTTTGGGTTTTGTGAAGGGTAATAGATATGACAAATGCTCTGCCAGGTAATACGGACGTTTGCTGCTTTCGGCAGGATTGGACGATGCATGGCTTTTCAAATGTTTGGTAAATCGTCCACGTAAGTTTCTCCATCTAGCTTTACATTCTTTTACAGTCACTAGAAGCAGAACAATTTGGGGTAAAATATACATATATTGCAGTGCTTCACACAAATCTTACCATTGGTTCCAATAGTTTGCGCGATTGTTTCCCAAGCTTTATCTTGGACGTATCCACGGTAGTAATCCTCCACGGTACTATCGTACAGACAAGGTTGTTGCTCAACTAATTTTACAAAGCTTATATTGAATTCGGATAAGTCTTGCATTTTACAGTGCAGTAACTGCACGAGTTTTCTCAATGAGACCGTTGTAAACCAGATAAATAAAGTTGTGGATTATAGCGAGGAGCGCGTAATGAAAGCCAATAATATTATGAATTTGCTTCACCGTGTAAATTTGTTATGACCATTACCTATCCAGAGATAAGCAAACAAACAAAATCGATGTCAATTCAATATTTTGGCATTTTGCTTGCGTGCAATTTAAGAATCCTAACCGTATTGTGTGCAATCCCATCACCGATACACGGTGTTTCATGAAAACCCATTAATGGGTAAAAAAATACCCATTTTCAAACCATGTATGCAGCTGTCAAAAAATGGGGGAATTTTGAAATCATAAAATGGGTGAAAAAATACCCATTTAAAGAATCAGTTCACGGTTGAATAATGGGTATATTTTTTACCCATTAATGGGTGAAAAAACACTTCGAAATTTTATCGTCTCATTTCCGTCACCGGCTCATTGGGAATGCAAACCAAACAGTTACTGTCCGCAGCATATTTGGCGAAAGTAAACGATCTCCGGAAAATATTAGAATCCAAAACGTTGGAGAGGCTTACGGATAAGTCAATACAATGGATAATTTGTATTATAATGTTTCGTGAAAAATTTGAGCGGAACACCTGCATTTATTTTCAATGTTTTAAAAACATTTTTACATCAACGAGCGCTTGCATCCTCCATTTGTAAAAATGGGTATTTTTTCACCCATTTTACGGTAAACACAATATAAGAAAATGGGTGAAAAAACACCCATTTATTGACAGACCACCCATTTACCCATTTATGAGTAAACCATAGTTTACCCATTAAATGAGGAGGGGCACTTTTAGCGGAAATGGGTATTTTTATACCCATTAATGGGTTTTCGCGAAACACCGTGTAGACCGCCGGGAAACCGTTGAAGCATAGACAAACAGACATAACTCTTAGAAGAAAATTCTTCAAACATCCTAACCGTATTGTGTGCAATCCCATCACCGATAGACCGCCGGGAAACCGTTGAAGCATAGACAAACAGACATAACTCTTAGAAGAAAATTCTTCAAATAAAAAAAAATCGTCAAGCGTACACAGAAAAACAAAACTACCCACCGCTTGGGTTTTTTAAACTCAAATTTGAGTTATTTGACCTCTGCCCGTTTCATTTCCTCTCGCTATTGTTGTCAAAAATAGAACGAAAGATTCGACTCAACCGTCTAGTTCCGTACGAGAAGCCAAAATTGAGTAATATGCGATATACCCAAATTTGAGTTAATTGAACTTAATTTTGGGTAGAAAAAATTGAAAATAACTTAGCGATGGGTAATTTTTTTTGCCGTGCTTAAATGCAAACTACTTTGAGCCGGTTTACCCAAATTTGGCTTATCGTACTCGTAGAAAAAACACTGAGGCGTAAACCAATAAAATATTTTGTTATTATTTAATACGAAATTTCTATTTGTTTCAGTTCATAATGAAGTTTCAAATCAATAAAGAAGCCCATTTAAATCAAACCAACACAATTGTTTAAAAATATTTATGTGTGTGTAGTGCAGTGTCAGTCTGTATCGACATCATAACATTGTTAATAAAAAAGCAAAAAAGTAAAATGATCATTTTCCTAGGCATTTTCTAATATTCTATCATTACAGGAACTCCTCCTCTGCACCACTGAAATGCGTCAACATCGGCATCTACAGTAGAATCGCTACCAGCAGCACAACAATTGTCAAAATTACCCTCGAAATTATCACCAACAATAACATTAGAATCTACACCATGGTGTACAGAATTGATTTATCTTTATTAAGGTGTACAGAAAGGCGCACAAGGGAAAAGCGTTCTTCCACCCGTTCAGGCACAATAAATTAACAAACAAACAGTGGCTTAGTTAGTAACTTAATTAAAACCATAATTGAAAAATGTGGGTTTATTTTTTATAATGACAGCTAATCTGACCTGGGAATTTAAATAAATTTGGTTTTGAAACAACAAAAATAACATTTCAATGCAACAAAAACGACAATTACTTTAAATGATGCTTCAATTTGATTCAAGCAAACATTTTTTTTAAATCAATAAAAGCCGATGTTCAATTCAATAAAATTAGTAGTATTATCAACAATCAATACGAAACTAACGACTTTAAATTGGCTCACTACTTGACTAGCCTATTGGTCCCAAGCAAACGATTTACGTATCCCATTCTAGTCGAAATTCTAGTACTACGCAATGTTTGTTTTGATTCACTATGAAAGTTTGACAGATAAAATGAGGGGTTATTGGTTTTTCCTATGTTTCGAGGGGTGAATCGATTAGCTTGGGACCGAAGAGAGTACCAGAGCTGAGCCAAAAAGTTGAGCACATTATTTCGGGACCTTCTAGTCTTAGAGTTACCTCTATGGTATTATCAACAATCAATACGAAACTAACGATTTTAAATTGGCTCACCACTTTAGTAGCCTATTGGTCCCAAGCAAACGATTAACGTACCCTATTCTAGTTGAAATTCTATTACTACACTATGTTTGTTTTGATTCGCTATGAAAGTTTGACAGATAACATCAGGGGTGTGTGGATTCATGCAGAACATGCAGGGGTGAGTGAAATAGCTTGGGACTGCTTGGGACCGTTGTTCTGGTACTGAGTGAGCCAAAAATAATAATGATTTTCTTCGGGACCCAGTGGTCTTAGAGTTACCTCTATGGTATTATCCCAACTCAATTTTGTTGTTGAATTAATCTATCAATTTTATTGATCCATATTCTATTCAAAATTTTGTTTAACATGAAACATAATTTGTTTGATTGCACTATGTTTTTTTCTGCGTGACGGAACATGGGAGATGAGTGAAAAGAACTTAATTTTGGGTTGTTTTGAATTTCTGTGTATGTTGTATGCACACTAGCCACATCGGTTGGAAACTAAATTGGCTCGAGAGTGATCACTACTTGACTAGCCTATTGGTCCCAAGCAAATCGATTAACGCACCCCATTCTAGTATAAATTCCACTACTACACTATGTTTGTTTTGATTCGCCATGAAAGTTTGACAGATAAAATGAGGAATTCGTAGATTTTCCCATGTTTCGAGGGGTGCATCGATTAGCTTGGGACCGAAGATAGTACCAGAGCTGAGCTAAAAAGTTAAGTTCGTTTCTTCGGGACCTTCTGGTCTTTGAGTTACCTCTATGGTAATATTACACAACAAGCGGAATGACCAATCGATTGTTTGGGTATAATTGGGTTCTTTAAGGGTATTGAGGTAAATGCATATTCGTAATCTGCATTAAAAATGGATCCCAAACCCAAAATTTCATCAATTTTGGTACACTGGAACTATTTTAAATAAGTACGATTACATTTGCAAAAATCACCTTATTAGCGCCCCTCGGTGTCACTTTGTACGGGAGCGAGCTGTCAGTTTGTTAGTTTAGTGTCAAACAGTGAAGTTATTATTTTGCTTTAAATCTTGATTTAAAAATCGAGATGAAAATGTGTGGGTTCCAAAAAAAATATCGCTGTGCTCCGAAAACGAAGCTCTTTGAGATGATGTATAAAAAACGATACATTTTTCAAAATTAAAGAACCCTATTCAACACCTTTTTTTTCTGTTATGTGTTATGTTTGAATTGAAAAAAAAAATGATATCCTACCTAACTACGAGTATAACTTAACCTAACGTGCTAGATCACGTATGATCTGACTAGTTGATGTCAGACCGGTGTATCTGAACCTTTCCAGGATAAAAACTCTCCGTTCTTCTAATGTTTGAAGGGGGATATCAAAATTTCTAGTTCGCTGGGGACTATTTAGGATCATCCTAAGGATCTTGTTCTGGATCCTTTGGAGTTTGAGGTGATGGCATTTGGCGCAACTCTCCCATATTGGCATCCCGTATTCCATTACGGGAAGGATGATTTGTTTGTAGACAGCAAGCTTATTTTTCAGGGACAGGGTAGACCTCCTGTTGATGAGTGGATACAACGATCTTATCAAGATGTTGCGCTTGGTTTTGGTTTTGTCAACGTGCTCCCTGAAAAGAAGCTTGCTGTCTATAGTGTTAGCCCGAGGTACACGACCTCTTTGGACCATTCCACCACTGAGCCGTTTTAGCAGATCTTATTATTCACCGACGGAACAAGTCTGGGAGATTTAGAGTGTAGAAAGATGATGACCTGGGTTTTTGCCGCGTTGATACGGATCTTCCAGCTGTTGAAATATTCAAACAGGACGTCCAGGCCTCTCTGAAGTTTGGCAGTCAGAGCTCCGATGACCCTACCCTTGTACCTAGACGATGGATGAATGCCATCATGCCAGACATTGGCGAATGCTTTTTTAACATCCAAAATCGCCGTGGCAGATGTTTTCGAAACAGACTTGTTCCGTCTGAGAATGTTGGTTACTCGAGTCAGCTGGTGGACAGTCGAACGACCTTTCCGAAAACCAAACTGTTCCTCGTTCTTCGGTACATGGTAGGAGCCGGTGATAGACTGCTCTTTCGAACAGTTTTGATAACCCTGAGAGAATGCTGGCTGGTCAATAACTTGAAGGAGAGGACGGATCCCAGGTTTCCGGATGGGTATGACTTTAGTTGACTTCCAACACGAGGGGGAAGTAGCCAAGTCGGAGGCACAGATTAAAAATCAGTGCCAGATGGTTGTAGAATGTGGAACTCAAGTCTTTGAGTTCCAGATTCAGAATGTTGTCGAAACCTGGGGCACAAACGAAGTGACAGACGGAGCGGTTCGAAAACTTTGGTGACTAACCTGCTATTGCAATTTTTCAGTGTACCACATGGCAACACCACTACTACTGGATTGTACCACATGGCAACACTACTACTGGATTGAACTAGCATTTTCACCAAATGTACTAGAATGTTTTGGTTCTATCTCTTTCACTCTACTCAAAACTGAAATGCATAAAAAAATGACAAAATGATACGCACTCTTTGCACACTGTCAAAGAATCATTGTACACGAAATCAACTTTGTGCAAAACCAAAACAAAAATACTATCCCATCTGGTGGATGATGGCACAAGCTTCTAAGAAAATTCTATTACAGCGAACCACATTATTTTAATTGATTTCTTCGCCAGTTAGTCCTCTGTCAC